AGATGATGATTATCATATGGACAGGTAAAAGATGGTGCAACTGACTACTTTGAGCCTCAGTGGAATAAAGGTGTTATGAGGAAGTAAAGGAGGAACAGCTGGGAAGCAGTAGTGAGGAACCAAGTCTACAGTGGAAACCAGGTCARCATTCTGATCCTGAGTATGGAAGGTTGAGCAGTTCCTTCTTGAGATGACTGTAAGGGGCCTTTGGGAGTCWAGATAGTACATTACAAAAGTATGGAAGAGCAGTAGTGAGAGATTTGTTATGGGGGAGGAAGAAAGCACTAGTTATGAAAGTAAAAATGAAATATGAGAGGAGCTTTTATCTTGGGCAGTGATGGAATGTGAAATGTTAATGGATGTGATTCTAGCATAAGTGCTGGGGCAACAAAATTTAGTCATGGCTTAGGAAGAGACTTAGTGACTGATTTATGATCTTCACAGTGGATGGCAGCAATTGTAAAGAGCAGCAATTTATCTGTGCAGTTCATTGTTTGAGTAAGAGGTTGTAAAGAATTAATACAAGTCTGGTAAGGAAGATGAATGGGCATGGCTGCTGACCTTCCATTTATGCCTTTATTCACTAGGAAACTTGAAGTCTCCTTGCATCCTGATTTGGTTAATGTTTAACTTTGAGTTTTTTTTTTTTTAATAGTTGACTTGGTTCTGACATGGACATGATACTAGTTTTGGAGCTTGAAAGCATGGTAAGGATTATGAGGAAAGGGATAGGTGATGTGAAAACTCCAGTTTTGAAAAACTCATCAGGAGGGAGATGTGCATAAATACAGATTTGACAATTATCTGCATTTAGGACTTAAGAAGTTATATTATGTAGGTTGAAAAAAAGGAATAGAGCATAGAGTAAAAGATTGAAGTCTGGAGAATATCCGAGATAATAATTAAGGTGATTACATGAGATAGTATCGTATATATGAAAACACTTTCATGTGTGAAACATTTATATCTAAAAAAATTGAGCCATGAATAGTTTAGCTTTATCTTCTTAAGCATTAAAACTTATTTTTTTATGGTGATTGTCTTAGATTCTATTGTGTGTACCACTCTGTCCTTAAAGTAAACTAAGCATTATTAACGTGTGTGTGTGTGTGTGTGTGTGTGTGTGTGTGTGTGTGTGTGTGGTACTAGGGATTGAACCCAGGGGTACTGTACCTCCACGGAACAGCCTCAGCTCTTTTTATTTTATTTTTGAGATAGGTTCTCACCAGTTTGCAAAGGCTGGCCTAGAACTTGGGATCCTCTTGCTTCAGCCTCCCCAGTTTCTGGGATTATAAGCATGTGCTACCATGCTTGGCTAACATTTCTTGATGATTTATGATAGTTATTGCAAATATCAGTTATGACTTGGTACCTCACATCTTTCAATTTCTTGAATATAAAGAACTAGGCATCTGATTGTGGTGGCACATGCCTGTAATCCCAGCCACTAAGGATCAGAAGATTGAGGCAGGAGGATGGCAAAATTTCAGGAACTTAGTAAGGCCTTAAATTGACAAGTTAGCAAGACCTTGTCTCAAACATAAATAAATAAATAAATAAAAGGATTGGGGATGTGGCCCAGTGGCTAAGCACCCGTTTTAATTCCTGTACAAAAAAAGAAAAAAGAAAAAAAAGAGCTATAGGCAATTTTATCTTACATGGACCCAAAGTGCCACAGCCACAAAATTGTAATTCTTTTTTTTTTTTTTTAATATTTATTTTTTAGTTTTCGGCGGACACAACATCTTTGTTTGTATGTGGTGCTGAGGATCGAACCTGGGCCGCATGCATACTAGGCGAGCGTGCTACTGCTTGAGCCACATTCCCAGCCCCAAGAGTTGTAATTCTTGATCCATTAATTATATGCCCTATAATTTTCCCCTTCTCACTGTCAACTCTAGTTAGGAATCAGATAAATGAGAGTCTTATTTGAAATAAGAATACATGGGTTAACATATGAACCATAGGAGGTTCTCTTTGTTCTTAAAAAGTTTTAGTATGTGGATRTTGAACCATTTATTTTGCCTGTTAATAGGCAAATTTTTCTTTTTTAAAATTTTTTTAATAGGCAACTTTTTTTGTATTATCTGGTTCTTAACTGAATTAGGTTAACACCAAATAGTTGACATTTTATACAATCTAGACTGACTGTAGATATTGAAAGACCTAGGGTAGAAGAGGCATCTGAAGTAAAAATTTTTTTCTAAATCATTGAAAAGTATTAATATCTGGTTCCCTTGACCCTTTCTAACCCTACTTCTGCCAGTCCTAGTCTGTCTCTTCCCTGATGAGTCTCATGCAAATTTTCTACTCCAGTCAGCTGACCTGTTTCCCAAAATCTAGACTTTTCTTCCTATCATACATATCTATTCTTTTCTACTTGGCTCCATCCTCAGGCAGACTCCATCATTCCTGTCTGGTTTTCTAAGCATTTTATGCATAACAGGCTTCACACAATTTAAGTATTTTAATATTTATTACTAGTCTACCAATAAGCTAAGTGAGTCTTAAATTTTAACTTGTTGGAATCACATGGATAAAAATATTTGATTTCCCCAGAAAGTTTGGTGAAGTAAGTTTGGAAATCTGCATTTTTAAAAACAAATAATTTAGTTAAACCTAATGCAGCTTATCCAAGGACTTTGAGAAATCAAGGACCATTTGGTAAATGAATTCCTTTAGGACAAGGGCCCACAACTTACCCACTTTTGTATATAGAGCCTATTATGTAGATGATGCTGAATGAATGGAGTTTATTAGGCSAGACCTTTTAGCAAGTAATTTTTGAGTTGAGACTCAGGTTTTGGCAGAATCTTAATACTTTTAACAAAGGTGTAAAAATAGCACAATATTTCTTAGATTGTTGCCAAAATACTCATGCTAGGGTATGTTTAATGGAAAATGGTGTTTTTTTTTTGGGGGGGGGTCAGATACTTTTGGTAAATGCTGCCTATTGGCTCTTCACTCTCCACCCTTCTCAATGCACACTAGCGTTCACACTTCTGAGATTTTTCTATAGGAAAAAAACCTCTTAGATGGGTGCCATAGTGCATACTTGTAATTCCAGTGACATGGGAAGCTGAGGCAGGAGATTTGAAAGTTGGAGGCCAGCCTTAGCAACTTAGCTAGACCTTGTCTCTCTCTCTCTCTCTCTCACACACACACACACACACACACACACACACAAAGCCTGGGGTTGTTGCTCAGTTCTACAGAAAGAAGAAGAAGAAGAAGAAGAAGAAGAAGCAGCAGCAGCAGCAGCTCTTTAAACTCTATAGGTAAAGGATTTTGAGGGCTAAGTATATAGCTCAGTGGTAGAGAGCTTGCCTAATATGTGGGAGGCCCTGAGTTTGTTCTCCAGCACCACCAAAATAAACAGAAAACAAAAACATTTAAGTAAGTGTTCACCCACTTTATTTATCTCCTTTTGTAGATTATAACTTTTTGTATCCTACAAAACTCATGCAGCATTCTCTTTGGAGCTCATATTAGCAAAAATAGAGCAGTAGGAATTAATATTTTATGCATGATGATATATACCCATTTTATGCATGTTATATGTACCCAGAACTGGAGAGCTCATGCCAGACAGTAATAAGAAAAGCGGTAAAGGCATTGGAAAGTATTAAGGGATGTACATTTTTCCATCATTGGCTATAGTTTTTTTTTTTTTTTGCACAATTCCTGCAAATTTGTAAGTATTAAAATGTCTATAGCATAGCCTATAACAAACAGGTTTGAGAATGCAAGGTTAGCTTCAGGTAGTGCTTACTGAAATGCAAATGAAAGCAGTAAATGAAAGACAATAGATGAAGGATCTGGTAATTAATTAAATCTGGTGAAAACAATTTGAACTTTTTAATTCAATGTCCTAAGTAGGCTTCATACTTTTTGATATATATTTAGACTACTAAGGTGAAAAAATGTATCATACTATTGACATTTGAAGAGATATGAATGAATTACAGTAGAGGGGGTAGAGAGAGAAGAGGGGAGGGGAGGGGAGGGGAGGGGGGATAGTAGAGGATAGGAAAGGCAGCAGAATACAACAGACTTGAGTATGTCAATATGTAAATCAATGGAAGTGTAACTGATGTGATTCTGCAATCTGTATAAGGGGTAAAAATGGGAGTTCATAACCCACTTGAATCAAAGTGTGAAATATGTTATATCAAGAACTATGTAATGTTTTGAACAACCAACAATAAAAAAAAAAACAATTAAAACTCAAAAAAAAGAAAAGATATGGCAGCAGAGAGTAGTTCTATAAATAAATTTAAATTTTAAATTTATTTTGTTTGCATTTTACATTTTTCCTTAATAAAATAAAATTTGTTATTATATGGTTTACCTTCTAGACTCTACATAGAAACCATTAACTTAAATTGAATTCAGAAGCAAACTAAAATCATGTCAGAAGTTTTTCCTGGAAAAATTAGATTTTTCTCTGAATAACTGGGGAGCTGGAGGAAAGTGGTTAGCCCTCACTGATTGAATTTGTTTGGGAGGCTTGTTTGTCAGAAACTACTTGCTGACAAAGCAAGACACATTATTATGACATTTAATTTAGACAGTGGGCAATTTTCCACACCATAATATAAAACAGTTATGTTAGACCTTGAGACTCATAGAATATTTATACTTTCCAGGTAAAGTAGAAAACCTAGTATTATCACTCTTTCATACTAAATAGAATGCCCAAAATAGATAGGAGACTTTAAGACTTAATTTTTAAAATAAGCTAATTCCCATAAAATACATTGCAGCATTCCCTTGGTAACATTGTTATTCATTGGGCAGAGAATGTGCCTTCAGTTTGGTGAGTGAAAATTATGCTACTAAACCAATTTCTTGAATGAAAAAAACCAAAAAAGAAAAACCACAAGAGGATGATTGACTGCCATAAATGAATGTCAGAAAGCTAAGTAAAAACAGTACTCAGTATTTCCTGATATTTTAGATGGGTCCTTAATGCTTCTTCCTTTTTATTGTCTTTTCAGACAAATGACCATGGAAACAATTGAATCTCGGCAGGATGGAAGTATAACTGATTCTGTGGCAGAGAGAGAATCTGCTCATATGCATACTCAGACTGGCCAAAATTCAATTCCTACTTTAGCTCAGGTAGGCTATAGGCAGGCACAAACACAAGTTAAAATTTATGGAAAGGAGAATTATGTGCTGATTCTGTTTACTTGTAGTTGATGTTAAATTTCCCATTCTCCCTAATTATCAGCTATTCTTACTATAATTGATTTTGAAAGGAAGATAAATATTTTAAATACTTTTATATTATAACAGTTCTCCACTATCACCACCATTGTGGGAAAGAAAAACAAAAACCCCTCCATAACATGTATTCTTTTTTTTTTTTTTTTTTTTAAGAGAGAGTGAGAGAGGAGAGAGAGAGAGAATTTTTTTAATATTTATTTCTTAGTTCTCGGCGGACACAACATCTTTGTTGGTATGTGGTGCTGAGGATCGAACCCGGGCTGCACGCATGCCAGGCGAGYGCGCTACCGCTTGAGCTACATCCCCAGCCCAGCATAACATGTATTCTTCAAATTATTTTTTGACTAAGTTGCTAATTCCAAATTGACATAGTTCCGATATTCTTAGTGTAAAGATAGCAGAAATCTTACTGTTTGCAARTATATATTTGACCTGTTCTTTACTATTTTTTGTTTCTCAATTTGTTCTTAAACTTTGAATTGGTTTCATTCAGAGAGCACAAGTGTCAGGACTGCAGGTGGGTCAGTAGTAGAGCACTTACCTAGCATGTGCCAGCCTGAATACAGAGGTTGGAGGGTACTAAAATCAGTTACTGCCTGTTTTTCTGCTCCTAAAACATATTTTTGAGATATCTATAAAAACATATAGTACAAACAAATACATTATTCATTAGTTTATCAAATATTTATTGAATATCTACTGTGTCTACRCACTGTTCTAGATGCACAGGGATTTGCATAGTTCCTGGCTTTAAATATCTCATAGTTTAATAAAGTAGATGTATTTTTTAAAGATATTTTTTAGTTGTCAGTGGACCTTTATTTATTTACATGCAATGCTGAGAATTGAACTCAGTGCCTCACACATGCTAGGCAAATGCTCTACCACAGAGCCACAACCCCAGCCCCTAGACGTATGTTTTAATAATAATTCCAATAAGAAGTACTGTAAAATGTTACATCCATAATGAATAAGGCATCCAGAGGATGAAGCAGCCAGTTGGTTTGGAGTGCCTTCTCAAGGATTTTTCATTTGAGCTAGACATAAAGGGTGAATAGGAATTTGCCAGGCAGATCCTAGGATGGAAGCATATTCTGGGCTATAGAAAGAGTACATACAAAGGGATGCTCAGGGGAAATACAAGTATCTCATTTACTGGAGCCTAGTGACTGGGCTGGAAAGTGGAGCTTGTAAAGGTCAACACAGGGTTGTAGAAMTTTGAGAGTTTGGAGCGTCCTGCTCCAAATATTCTTGGAATATTTTCAGATGCTCATTGTTTTTAGAATACTAGTGAACTAGAAGTTAGGGAAGCAGTAAGAAAGAACATTATTAGAGTGCCTGGTGGTGCCAGGTAGTGTGGGATACACATCCGTAGTGGGATTTTAGCAGAATCTTATGGGGAAACTGAAAAGGACTCAATAGCTGACTGGAAGGCCCAGGAGAACAGCAGGTGCTTATGTTGTCGCAGGCCAGACTGGTTCCTGTGAGCTCTCTTCTTTCCCAAAATTGGGCCTCATGCACCCAGCCTGCTTTTCTTTTCCCTTTTCAAGCTGCGACACCCAYCGTCTTCCCTCAGGTTTTCTCCAAGTGTTCTGTGGAGCTGCATCTCCCTAGCAACACCCTTCTTTGTTACCCTGAATGACAGGCATGTAGGCCTTTTTTTAAAAAAAACATTAAAACATGGCATTTTTCTTGTTAAAAAAAAAGTATGTTCATTGTGTAAGATTAACAAAATAAATATTAAAAGGAACATAAAAACTGTCCATAATCTTTACATTCAGAGATGTAATCATTGGTTAATGATTTAATTATTAACATTTTGGTATATAACCTTTAGTCTTTTTATCTGTGAAAATAGAATGAAATGTGTGTGTGTGTGTGTGTAATGATTTGGGATCTTCCAGAAGTTTTTTTTTTTTTTTTTTTTTTAACCATATGTTAGATATTTTATTTTAACCTAAATCACATAATGTACATTCATTTCCTAATATTGTCCAGAGTTTTTATAAGTATAATTCCTGGTCTGTAATTCTGCTTTTCTTTTCTGTATCTGAAAGCAAACCTTCCTTCTGTCTCCAGTTCCTTCCCTTTGGGTACTGGCTCACTAACTTCCACACATGTCATTTTTCTCCATACTTCTGGGCCAGTACAGTCAGAACAAAGTTGAAAGAAATCCCTGTTGTTGAAAGATGATGATTTGCAATTCTGAGAACCTTCGGGCTAGCAACACCCAGCCTTGTGAGTCATAAGTTGCTGAGTGGTCCAGTAATAGGAAGCCTGAAAAGCAATCTTGGGTTTATAAGTTTTGGAATTGAATAGAAGTCCAGTAGACAGAAATTAGGTTGTAGTAGGCTAGAGAATAACCAAGAGGAAAGAAGTGGTCATTGGGAGTATAGATTTTTGAAGACATTTCTGTGAAATAATAGAGGATAGGTTTGTGAGATAAAGGGAGTTTTGAATAAAGTAGAAGAGTAGATAGAGCACTTGTGAGAAGGCCAAATCAAGGAACTAGAAAAAAAACTTTATATTTCTAATACTTCTTTTAAAATCTCAAATATATCAGATGCTGGTATTTATTAAATCTGCATGGCAAGTTTATGGATTTTTCTATTTTCTATATGTTTGAAGTATTTGATAAAAATAAAAAATAACTGGTTTTAATCTTTCACATACTTGAAATTTAAAGAAATTAAAAGGTAACCTGGCCAGGTTTGGTGGTACATGCCTGTAATCCCAGTAGCTCAGGAGGCTGAGGCAGGAGGATGGAGAGTTCAAAGCCAGCCTCAGCAAAAGTGAGGTACTAAGCAACTAAGTGAAACCCTGGTTCTAAATAAAATACAAAATATGGCTCAGTGGCCAAGTGCCCCTGAATTCAATCCTTAGTACCCCCGTTCCTCCCCCCAAAAAAGGTAATCTGTGTGTTAATTAATGGATTATTTTAGTTAACTAGGAATTATCCTCTATGCTGTGCATGAATGATGATTATTTGATGATTTAGAACTCAATTCTTAGCAGTCAAAATATTCTGAACATATTAATTTAGATGTATCTGAAGCATTTCACTGACGTATTTGTTTTTATTATACAACACTATCTACAGATTATTAAACCAAAATGGCATCTTTATTAACCCTATGATATATGACCAAAGTGACTGGTTTTTAAAAATAATACTCGATGGTAACATAATTTATTGGCTACTTGTCTCATTTTCTTCAAGTCAAGGGATGTAAATTCCCTGGTGTTTTAGACTTACATTCAGTTTTATATAAACAAGTCATGGAAGCAGTAAGTAAGGACTTATTTTACATAATCAAATCATTCTTGTTTACATGATCAAATCATCATTAAGCTGTGGAAACTAAAATGTTACCAAAAATTCTGTGCGTTTGATCCTTGTGACTGAAATCATTTGAAAGCTCTGTCTTTTCAGAGCTTCTGCTAATCAATTGTATGGCTAATGTACATCATCCTGTTTGTACAAAGACCTGACAGCTGTTGAGCTTCCTGTTGGTCCTCCAACCTTTGTTCTGCTGATGAATTAAAGGGAGGTGGTACACAAGGGGAAGCTGGAGTTTTAAGTTTTTGGGTTTTTTGTTTGTTTGTTTTTTATTTGATTTTTTAAAAATACATGATAGCAGAATACATTACAATTCTTATTACACTTATAGAGCACAGTTTCTCATATCTTTTTATATAAAGTATGTTCATGCCAATTCATGTCTTTTTACATGTACTTTGTTGTTTTTTGCATTACAATTCTTATTACACATATATACGACAATTTTTCATATCTCTGTTTGTATATAAAGTAGGTTGACACCCAATTCGGGTCTTCATACATGTACTTTGGATAATGATGTCCATCACATTCCACTATCCTTGTTGATCCCCTGCCTCCTCCCTTTCCCTCCGACCCCACATTCATATCTAGAATTCATCTATTCCTCCCATGCTCCCCCTCCCTACCCAACTATGAGTCAGCCAATAAGTTTTTGTTTTATAATTTCCCGGTTGTGACGTTTTTTCTTGTTTATGTTCTAAAGTAAAATCACACAGGTGATAAGGTCAAAAAATTGGAAGCAGGAGTTGCCATTAACAAATCCTGAGTGACAGATATTTGGGGATTAAATATTGTGACTTGGCTTTCTTCTTGCCTGAATGACTTTATGTATGATTCATTAATAATATGCCCTATAACTTTCCCCTTCTCGTTGTCAACTCTTCTTATATCCACCCTAGTTAGAAATCAGATAAATGAGAGTCTTATTTGAAATAACAATATATAGGTCAACATATGAACTATAGGAGGTTCTCTTCATTTTTAGAAAGTTTAGTATGTAGACTTTGAACCATTTATTTTTCCTGTTAGTAGGCAAATTTTTATTTCTTTCTTTTGTTTTTGTAAACAGGCAACTTTTTTGTATTATCTGGTTCTTAACTGAATTATATGTTAGCACCAAATAGTTTTTAAAGTTTTTTTGATGTGATAGATTTCAAGCATATACAAGAATAGAATAATTATTTCTCCATACACACATGTGCATGCATGGGCGCACACTAATTATCAAGATTTTGTAGCACTTGCCTCATCTGTTTTCCTTTTTTTTTTTCTTYTTTTCATTGAAGTATTTTGAGCAGCTTTGTAGATCTCAGACATTACGGCTTTTTGCTCCTACTTACTTCTGTGTATGCAACTCAAAACAAAATGTACACTTTCTTATAAAACGAAATGTCACTGTCATATCTCATAAAATCAAGTATTATTCCTTTGGTTAGTGTGCAGTCTATATTCATATTTTCCCATTTCTCTTGTATATTTATGACTCACTCTGAAAGTAACGGTGATGCCACCTTGAACTTTCCTTGTTCCCAGTCTCTTGGGAATCCGT